ACCAGATCAGCAAACTGCCAAAACCTTTGCTTTTATACAGGCACTCTCCTTTGCTGATAATCCGCTAGACTGGTGCTTGTTTATTCTTGTGGAACCTTCATTCTCACATGACTGCCTGTTTAACCATCTCTTCACTTTTTGTTCCTTGCAGTAACTGATGAAGCATCAGTTGAAGAATTAAGATCAGTGGGAGATGAAACTTCATGATGAGCACAAAGAAGCTTCAGATGTTGTAAATATTCTTCTTACTGTTTGCTCCAGCAGAGAGAGATCATCCCCATCCTCAGCAAGCTCGCTGAGCTTCTTCAGTAGATCACGACGGGTCGACTCAGGAAGATCTGCCAGCGGCTGCAGAAAAGCATCCTTCATCTTTAGTTCTGCAGCAAACAAAGAAATAGCAGAACTTATACGATCACACTCAATAAATTAAAGCAGAGTTTGTGCTGTAGGTCCCAAACTCCAAAACTTCACTCTGATTAATTCAGAGCAGGGAAAAGCTCAAACTGTCAGACACACCTTCTTTAATCTGTTGTAGCGTCGCACTCTCTATGTCATCGCCAAAGAGTCCATCTGAAAACAGACCTCAAGATTATTAAAAGTGAGAAAGATTTCATGTTGATGTGAACATTAAGACAAACATGGCATCAACTTCAGCCACACGCAGCAACATACAGAGGCCACCTCGAGTCCAGGGTTCACACGAGATCTCTAAATGAGAGCAAAGGACAGAAATTCAGTAACAATCAGTAACACACACACACCACAAACACACACACATGCAATCAACACAGTGTTGTGCTCTTACTCAGCTTCTCATCCTCTATCTTTATCTCCACCAGGCCGTAAGCAAAGGTGGATTTTTCTGGAACAGTGAAGCTTGTCTTCTCTTTTCTGTGGCCCTAAAACATTTATTTTTTGTTAAATTACACATAACTGCACAATCAATACACAAGCATAGAAGAAACACTATCATTGTTCTCCATTTGCCACACAATTTACATGATCTTCAGTCTATTTCCAAGAGTTTTGGAGACCTTTGGTCTGAAGTTGCTGAGGTGAAGGGATCGGGTTTACAACAGACAGTTTGAATTCTTCCAAACATTTTAAAGAGCTGCTGCACCGTGAACACCCAAATTCTAAAGCTGCTGCCCTCTTGTTGTTGGAACTGACAACAGCCTTTGACGTGGTCGACCATGATATCCTGCTATCACAGCTGGAATCATATGATGGCCTAATAGGGTTTGGTCTTCAGTAGTTTTGGTCCTTATCTGGAAGGACTTTTCATGTCAACATGGGCCATCACGGCTCCTCTTAATTATGGTGCACCTCAAAGCTCGATTTTGGGTCCTGCCTTGTTTGCACTGCATATGTTGCCACTGGGATCTGTTTTCTCACAGTACAACCTTTCTTCACTTTCTTTTTTCACTACTTTGGAGATGACTTTGAGATCTATCTGCCTTTAAAAGCAGGGACAGACCCACTTCAGTTATTATTATGTTGGCTTGATGGTGTTAAACAGTGGATGTCTTTAATTTTTAATTTTTTTTTTTTTATTAAATGAAAACAAAACAGAAGCTGTCATTTTTGGTAAATTCATTAAGCACATTGACAGCAGTCTAGGCCCCTTATCTTCCTATTGTAAGACAATGGTTAAAAACCTCGGTGTGTACCTTGATGGTTGCTTTAAACTGTAGGCAGGTGAGTGCAGTAGTCCAATCCAGCTTTTTTAATTTAAGACAGCTAGCCAAGGTTAAGCCGTACCTTCCAGCTAATGTCTTTGAACGTGTTATTCATCTCTTCGTTACTTACAGACTGGACTACTGCAATTCTTTGTACTTTGGTTTGGACCAGGCCTCTCTTTATCGTCTCCAGTTGGTCTGAAATGCAGCTGCTCGTCTGCTAAATGGCACTAAACAGAAGAAGCATATTATCCTGGGTTTGGCCTCTCTGCATTGGCTCCCTTTTCCTTACAGGATCCAATTTAAAATGTTACTTTTTGTTTTTAAATCATTTAACGGCCAAGCGCCTTCTTACCTATTTGACCACCTTTATATTTATGTTCCAAAAAGAACCACGAGGTCCAAACTAACCTTAACTATTTCACAGACTAAACTTAACTATCGTGGACACAGAGGCTTCTGTGTGGGAGGTCCCAAACTCTGGAATTGCCTTCCTCTTAATATTAGATCTGCACAAACACTCAAAGACACACACTTAAGTCTGGCTTTTGACACACTCTGACCTAAACATTTTTGGTTTTAACAGCCTTAGTTGTTGCTGTTGTTTTAGTTTTTTAATTGCTTTTCTATATTTTACTGCATCACTGCATTTTATTTATTTTAGTGGTATTTTACATTGTTAAGCACTTTGTGCAGCATGGACTGTTTGGAAATGTGCAATATAAATAAACTTGACCTTGACCTTAAATGTTACACACAGCTCCATCAGATGATGTCTACAATGGTTCTGGCTGCAGAGCATCTGTTTATGTGCCACTCTCTGGTAAATAATCACGCCACTCTAATAAAATGACCTGGCTACACCATGGGTCAGGCCCGGTGCCAGGGTTTACAGTGCTGGGTATTCTGCCTGCTTGTTAGCATTGCAGTGTAGGAAACAGGAAACCATGGAAACCATGCTCTGTGGCAAATGCTGTTTTCTAGATAGTAATTTGAGAATTATGCTCTTAATAGTTGATGAATTTTTACACAATACTTATTTTTATGACTTTAACCAGTCTGCTACTCAGGAGTTTATTTTGGGGGGGGTTATACAGGAACTTGTTTCTTCCTCAAATGTGGCCTTGAAATAGGCCTGCCAGGGACGTTTATGTCCACAAATAGCCTTTGAGTTCCTGAAGTGGAACAAAGTGAGTGGAGTCCTGCAGAAGTGGATTGGATTCCCAGAGTCCTGATGTCCGCAGAATCAGTTTTGATTAAACAATGAGGCAGAAGTTACCAACAGTCTAAATCTGCCGAAGAACTGTGGCAAATTCTCCAAAATGCTGAAGAACCAACCATTCACGTAACTTACAAACAGAGGAACTGAATACGTAAAGAATTCCTGATTCGAATTCATTAACTCGATCACTTTAATCACTACAGACGAATCATGCTGCACCTGCACTCTGGACAGTTTGTTCTTCACAAACAAGTAATCAATTCATTACCAATACAGCTCAAACATGAGTTACTGAAAACAAAGCTGAGCCCAGAATGTCTTCATCCTTTGGAGATTCACTCACCTTTGCAAACAGACTCAGTATCTTTATGCAGGATGCTAACAAGGACCCATCCCTCGTGCACTTTCTAATAAGTGTGACAGGACAGGAGTTGTAAATTGTCTGGTGAACAAAAGCCAGTTTATCCTTTGTTTTCAGTGCCAGCAGGTTCACTTTGTCTGTTTTTATGGTCCTGGAAACAGGAAGCAGCAGCAGAGAGTAAAAGGATTAGCGCATGTTTGGAAAACAGCGATCGCTGAGCAGAGACAGAGCCCTACCCGTCACTGAGCACGCTCCTCAGGGCTTTAAGGTCGACTTTCTTCGACATCATGTTGACGGGCTGAACTAGTCCATCCATGCTGTCAGCGCCTGCATTCACTTCAGCTTCATACACACCAACGTCTTTTCCACCTAACCCTCCTCTCCCGCTCGTCTTTGTTGAAGTCATGAAATTACTCACAAAGGGCTCATCTGTGCACTCTGGAGGGAGAAAGGAGCATCACTTACACATGATACAGTCGTTCTATATATTATGAGGTCAATGTACCACATCACACAGGTCAGCTTAATGAGGGGGAGTTATTTAGGAGACAGAGGCACACCCACCGCCACCTCTGGTATAACTGGAGCATATAAGTAAAGACACACACTCCCAGCTGATTCTCCTTTCTGTGGATTAAGGAATGTATTAGTTCACTGTGACACTGGTTCGCTTGTTTGCCTTGCAGGTCACAACCCATCATCCTCTGTCTTACTTTATCACCCTTCCTCTCTCTCTAGCAAAAGTATGGATGATGAGGGGCAGAGATGTAGGCCCTAGCACCAATAGCTGGCCCATCTGAATAAGATAGATTCTGTGAATTAAGGTCAGCATGTGAACTACAGTATTATATCATCATCACCAGGCTAATGGGACTCAGTCAGAAAAAAAGGTGTATTTATATTGTGTGACACAAAATATGTGTGTGTTTATGCATCTGAATACACACCTGGGCTGAAGTCTTCCACCTCCATGAGCTCGGGCAGACTGAGTTGCATTATCTTGTACTTTTGCACTGGCCAGAATTTTCCTCTGCTGACTTTGACCAGAGTCAGCAGATCTACTTTCTTGATTAGGCTCTCATTATAGATGAGCTCTTTATCTCCCACCTTTTCAATAATTTTTTTGGCCTCAGCTGCAAACATCTTCTGTGGAGACAATAAAGCAAGCACAGCTGTTTTCAGTTCACTGCATGAATTTCTTAATGGTTAATTTGCAGATTTATCCAAATGCTGCAAAAATGATAAACTTTTCCTGCGTCCAGGAAAAGATAGGACGCTGTCTAAGATGCAAATCTAAAAGAATGGAGCCATTTGCAAATCCTTATAACCCAATATTTAATATAAAAGAGTAAAAATAAAGCTATGTTTCTCTGATCGTTACCAAAACATTACAGTATGGAGCCACTCAAAATGCTAAAAGTTCAACATATTAAACGCTGAAACTGAGAAATGTTGTGTCTGTGAAAGGTATCTGATTACAGCACGTCACTCAAAACCATCTGAAAAACAGCCACAATTTATAACCATTTAAATATTTCTATTTGTGTCTCTCAAACCTTTAGTGTTCCCGTTCTCTATGACAGTTATTCTAAAATGTTCCAATTCTTTTGACCATTTTATACAAATAGGAGTTAACCTCCAGTGAACTTTTTTCATCAGCACTGTGGAACTAAGTATTTTCCTAATTGCCTATTTTATTTATCCACAGTTCACTGAAAACATCAGAATGTTGTGATAGGAAGTTGAAATTATAATCAAATCTAAGTAAATTTATTAACAGGTTCAGTAAGCAAGCTCATTAATCCTGTTTTATACTCTTTACATTGACTCCCAGAAGAGATACCAAGCACTCCACGGCCAGGCTTCAGCCTTATTGAACACTCTGCTGCTCACAGACTCGTCGTACCAGATGAAAGCTGGAGGAGAACGCAGCCTTTCAGTCTGTGGCTCCAAGACTGAAACATTTTTGTTTAGTCAGGTTTTTCTGATGTTCACTCTATTCTGCGGCTCAACTTGTTTTTCTATAATATATTATTTTACTCTATTTTGTTGTACAGTGCTTTTTCTGTATGTTCTAAAAAGACTTTACTTTCTTAAAAATAGAAATGTATGGTGCTGCATCGACTCCTACAAACACTGAACCCTCTCATTCTCTTCAGCAATGACCTCATGGTGGTGTGATCTGAAGGTTTTCTGTAGTTATTACTAAATTATTTAAATTCTAAATAATTTCTCATCTTACTCAGATATGTACAGTCTGCTCTGAGCAGAGACATTGTCACTTAATGTGCACATACAAGTGTTTCCTGTGCAGACGTCACATAGCGCTAAAATATCTTCATTATCTCATGTTTAATCTATGGTGAGATATCCGCATTTTTACAGACACAGAGATTATAAACAGCTGAACTACTTTTTAACAAAATACAAGTGTCTCAAATGATGTGTTCACTGATCACACTGCAATCAGGAAACCCATTAGCGCTACAGACATAAACAAGCTTAAGCTCAACAGGGATGCACACGCTGATCCTTTAGTAATAAACACACAAAAGCCTCAAGCGCTGTTTCACCTGCGCTGCAGGATTACGACTGTAGCTTACAGTGGTGGGAGCAGACGCCACTAAAACACCTTGTTGTTTTGGTGTCACTCTGCTGCCTAAAATAACACGAGGTAAGCTGAAACACAGAGCTAGGAAACACTAGTCTTACCGTGCTCGTCCTCAATGCTGATTAAGCTGTTGTTTCGCTTTCTCTGCAGCTTCAGGAGTATCAGGGTCCTCGACCTACAGGAAATGAGTAGTGTGGTGTTTTTAACCTCAGTGCCTGCAGAGTTCAACAGCTGAAAGTTACACTTTTCAAAAAGAGCTACCCTCAAAGGCTATACATTTATTATTAATGACACCTTATTGCACTGATCATATAAAAAGCCATGCTAAGAAATCATATAAAAGCCTTGCTATAATCTGCCTGCAGTGGTTCTTTTATCTGTGGCTCTTATCAGGATAAGAGAAAACAGAAGTTGTCAACTGAATTCGCCTGCCTGTTGTTTATTAACTGCTCATAATCAGCTGCATATCAAAGAAGTGCACGAGTCTTTTAGAAGGAGGACGCATGGCCTTCACTCAGTGGGTTCTTAAAAAAAAGGCTGGGTGTGGAAAATTAGTCACAAAGTTCACAGTTTGGGTGTTCGTGTGAAAAAGGGAACCTGAGTGGTTATATGAAAAAAAAAAGTTTCTAAATAAACTTTAAAAACAGGAAGTAAAAAAAACACCAACATAATAGGAAATGCTTGAACACCATTAAACAGTCACTCAGTAACATCCTCTGACTGCACGCTTAACTGCTTATTTCAGAAATGTGGTTTGGGATGTGGTGTCTGATTTCATCATGGATTCTTTGATTAATGAGCTTCCGACTCTTGTTAATGGAGCCGCTCACTAGTACGATGAAGAAAATAATACATTTCAAAGGCCAATTATTAGTATTGTCACTGAATTATTGCATGGTAAATATTTCTGATGATGGACTCATATTGTTTGTCAGCAAACAAATAAGCAACTTAAAACTTTTCTTTGAGGCAACAAAATAAAGCAAACAAGAAGCTGAGAGCGCAAACCTCCAGCGGGCAGCATTCACCCTTTAGGGAAACAGTATTCATTTGTTCTCTCTTGTCTTTTTAAACAGACTCTATCAGCGCCTGAATGTAACAAACACAGTTACTGTCTGACTGTCGACACCAGGTTACATCAGGATAAACCACATAACATTAACAACATTACACACAAATATTGTGTAGGTGTAGATGATGGATGATAGGTACTGATTAATAAATAACTGTACATAAATAACTGGAGCTTACTACATAATATTACACTACAGTATATTTCTACCTAAGCAGGAAGCTCATACTGTTTCTGCTTTCTTTAAACATATCACATTTAACACATTTTCGAGAAACTTGAAAGAAAGGCGCATGTGCACTGTAAAAGTGAGGTCAGAGGTCAAATGACATGTGACATGATGTTTTAAATGTCTATATAATAACAACACACAGCACACTTGTAAGAATCATAGGCTCTAAGTTCAACAGCTTTTTGTCCACTTTTGTGGGGGAAAAAAGCAACTTTTAATCAGAATTCATTAAAATCTCATCGTGTTACAGACAGAATGACGGCACACCCACAAACACTACCAAAAAAAAA